AACTCCTACAAATCACACACTCATACACTAAGGACATACAAATGGAGTTTGGCCTAGACAAATGCAAAAAACTTCACATAGAAAAAGGAATCCTGAAGAAAGAAGATTTTGCACTTGGAAATGGAGACGTTATTGAATCCATGGAAGAGGGTGAATTCTACAAGTATTTAGGATTCCAACAAGCCAAACGAACAGAACATACACAAATAAAGCAAAGACTAAAGAATACCAAAGTAGGTTAAATGCCATTCTCAAAACACAGCTAAATGCAAAACACACAGTTAAAGCAATAAACACATATGTCATCCCAGTACTCAATACTCTTTTTGAGTTATACATTGGACTCACACAGATCTCGAGCAACTCCAAAGGAAAACGAGAACAACACTTACTAAGCATAAACATCATCATCCTAAATCTGCCACAGAAAGATTAACCCTTCCACGTAAAGATGGCTGACGTGGCCTGATTGACATACTTAACCTTCACTACAAACAAATACAGTCACTGCTAGAGTTTTCCTACAGGAAATAAGAAACATCACAATTACATACTCTAGCAGACTCTAATAGCACACCATTAAACTCTAGCAGACTCAAATAGCACACCATTAAACTTACACTTACATTATACAGACATGACACAACACACAAAAAGCATAGACACCATTAAGCAATCGTGGGCTCGAAAGGCACTCCATGGCAGGCATCCTTATGACCCAGGATTTTGTTGACAAAACTGCGTCAAACAGCTGGTTAGATCGGGGATGCCTTTTTGGAGAGATGGAAGGATTCATGATTGCCATACAGGATCAAGTCATAAATACTAAAAACTACAGAAAACACATACTCAAAGATACAACACTCACAAATGACACATGCAGAAAATGTCACATTATGCCAGAAACTATACAACACATCACTTCTGGCTACAAGCTCTTAGCACAGACAGATTACTTACTTAGACACAATCAAGTAGCAAATATAATACACCAAGAGCTTGCAAAGAAACAAATTATTAGACATCCACGAACCATACTACAAATACATTCCACAGACAGTATTGGAAAACAACACGCACAAAATGTACTACGACAGAGTCATAATCATAGATAATACAATTTATCACAACAGACCAGACATCACACTCATTGACAAACACAATAAAATCACATACATTATAGATATAGCCATTCCAAACACTCACAATGTTCAAAACACATGCACTGAAAAAATTAGCAAGTATACAGAACTCGCCCAGGAAATAAGGCATCTGTGGAGGATGAATAGGGTGCTTATTGTACCTGTCGTTCTCTCCTGTACAGGTGTGATACCACACACACTACACAAAAGCCTGGGAACATTACAATTGAATAGAAATACATACATCACACTACAGAAGGCCACTATATTGAATACATGCTACATTGTTAGGAAATTCCTGAATACAGACACACACACTGAGACACTTATTTAATTTTAGTTTTATTTTGGTTGCTATGCCTTGACTCTGGTCGGGCATAGTACACAGCCATCGGTGTGAACCGAGTATAACTCACAAAACCCAACATAATAATGAAATATATATGAGTTGTAGACAAAACAGTGCAATGAGTTATATCTCGCATTTAGTTAATAAGTTGCAGAAACAAGTGCACAAGAATATAGATAACCAGTAGTGGGCTATTTGATGGCATAGTTGTATCTCAAGATTAGTAACAAATATTTTGTTAGAATACTCAAAAGGAAAGCAGCTGGATATTAAAAAAAAAAATTGGGAAAATCATACAGTTTGAGTGTGCAAGGAAGTATCATACAGTTTCCTTTAATTTTTTGGCAGTATCCACCACTTTCCCTTTGAGTACTTTAACCAGACAAAAATATTTTTTTAAACTAATATTGAGAAGCTTGACAACTTTGTAATTTAAACTGTGCTGTTATCATTCATAGGAGCCAAGACAGGATTTTGTCCCATGAAGAGGGTCAAGGGAGCATGGAAACTATGCTATTGAATAGCCCATTACCGATTACTTACACGCTATGTAATATGTAGAAGAAACAAGATATAGTATACTGAATAAGATTGCTCTTAAGAATAAATTTGTTTTTAAGCAAATAAGTCAGAACACACTTCTTTACAATTTGAGAACATGTATAGTTCATAGCTTCAATTTTTTTATAGCCATGGTCACACCTTGCAATTTCTAGCTGTGCAGGCAACTGCAATGGCTGTTCCCATTGACTAGTAAATCCTCTTCGAAAACCAGCATGAAAGCAAGATTAGAAACAAAAAGTTTGTTATACTTATGCCCATCTCAAAGGTGCACCATATGACATTTGTGCCATGTCAAATGGTTACAACTTTGAAAATAGTTAACATTGTGGCAGAAAGTGAAAATGCAAACTATTACAGCATTAGAATCGAGATTGATCAAGCTTATTTGGCTCACAAATGCCTATGGAGTTTTAATTCTTTGTTTTATTGGAGGAGAAGAGTACAGTCATGAGTGAAAAGAGCAAAAGTCTCACCATTGATTGCAAGTATTACTTTTAGATTTCTGGATATAAAATATCAATTTTTAGTTTAGTAACAATAATATTAAGTAAAAATAAGTTTACATGGCCAACAATTATTTAATATTAATAACAACTTTTTTACAAAGAAAAATTCTTTGTTTCAGTCATTTTTTCGTTGTTCACACCATCAGCAGTTCATTAAAAAACACACTCATCGAGACGACTTTTTTTTTTTTCTTTGTAAAAAAATTGTATTTATCTTTAGTATATTAATATTAAATAATCGTTGGCCGTGTAAACTTATTTTTACTTAAAATGTATCATGTGATTGTGGCAAGAGCACCAAAGGACGCTTTTATCATTTTTTACATTTTAACTACGGAGGCAGTAGCCTAAAAAAGGAAGGTCGTTTCCGTGAGTATTTGTGTTTTTTTAATGAACTGCTGATGGTGTAAACAACGAAAAAATGACTGAAACAAAGAATTTTTCTTTGTAAAAAAGTTGTATTTATTTTTAGTATATTAATATTAAAACAATAATATTATAAATATAGCTAAAAAACTAAGTTGAAAATACCACTATTTGCCAACAATATTCCTTCACATTAAAGAAAAAAGATAGCAGATGAAGTGGATGTTGGTTTATTATAAGGTCACATGTTTGAGTTGCAATGCCAATGAACAGTGTGACCACAAGAAAATGCATTCAACTTGTGCTCACTGCAGTTGTAATTGCTTGCATGGCTGAAAGTCACTAGGTGTGACCATTGTTATTACATCCTGAAAACAGTATTCTTTTTTTATTTTTTGATTTAGCTACATAATAATTATAATTTAAATTATATTGTGTGTATATATATAATATACAGTGTATTTTTTCCTAGTATTTGGAAGCTGAAGGAACTACTGTTGAATTGGCAGATATAGGGAATCAAACTCTTCCAGATGGAACTGTCTTAAAATTACCTCCAGTATTATTAGGCCAATTAGGAAGTGATCCAAAAAAGAAAACTGTGTGCATTTATGGACATCTTGATGTTCAACCAGCACATAAGGTAAACTTCTGTATTTTCATATATTAATCTATAACTGTGCTGCAGTAATAACTGATATATGTTTACAATATTGATAACAATATTTAGTATTTTAGAATGTGATAATTTTTACTATTATTCAAAATTGTTTGATTATCAAATATGTCAAAGAAATTTCAGTATCAAGATTGATATCAATATCAAAACTTTGGTTCAGTATAGCCCTAATCTATCATTTTTGTTAAATGTTATCTGATGTTAGACATCATTTTATTAAGGATAAATTGAAACACTCCTTTATTCACCTTAAATATATATACATCATACATCTTTACATAATACACATAGAGAATAAAAGTAAGAGAAAAAGACATGTCAAAAACCAGAATACCATCTGACACTCAGTGTTACAACAAAAATTAAAATACAGCAACTTTTTATTTGTTAAATTAATAGCTCTAATAATAAGTAAACATGTTAGGAAATTGATAGTTTAAATTATCATATTGACCTTCTTTTAATTATATCAATTAATCTTAGTTTTTTAATTATAAGTTAAATTCAGCTTGAGTTGTAGATCTGTAGGATTACTGAACTATACAGGGTTGGGGATAGGTAAGAGAAAAATAAAGGCCAAACAAAGAAAAAACAAAAACCACACAATTCCTTGTTATACAATACTATTATATTCCTTATATAAAGCATTAACCCTATCCACCTGAGTGAGCTACAATAAGGTAACAAGGGTAACGGTAACAAAGAAATCGAATGGTTCTATAACTAGATAACACTAATTACTTATACAGGGTGACCCAACGAAAACGAAACGGCGGAGTTATCGTGTTCGTCCAAACAAATCGCTCAGACAGGTCGATTTTAATCTCAAGGGGGACATTTTCTGCAATGAAGTTTTTGCGATTCTGAATACAACAGACAACAACATTTTTAAAAACTTATTCATTTTTTATTAACTAAACAAACATTTATTTCAGCAAAAAGTAACACAAACTATTAAAAAACATAAAAAAAAAACTTTTTAAGCTAGACCGCACATTCAAGGAAAAATAAGTTGATCATAAAATTAAGGTTGATAATGTGTTATCTGTTTCCAAATGTTATACCTATATTTTGTAGTGTTCACATTAAGCTTGACCACATAGTGATTCAATTCGAATTGAAGATTATTATTTGTTTATTGTGAATTTTTGTACACATAATCGTTATGGTTTACACAATTGCTGAAAGGTTAGAAACAGTAACTCTTCATTTCAGAAATGGTGAGAATGCTCATCTTACTGCAAATTTATTTAATCAATGTTATCCAAACAAACATTGTAATGCAAAATACATTCTAGAGTTGGTTCAAAAGTTTAAGTTAACGGGTTCTGTGGCTAACAAAAAACGCACTCCCGGATGTGAACTTCCAGTAAGAAACGAAGCGACAGAGATTGAGATTTTGGGGCAAGTTGCTGCAGACCCAACTTTAAGTATAAGGAAGCTGGAGGCTGTGACTAGCATAAGCAGAACATCTATTTGCCGGATCCCACAAGTTTCATCCATACAAAATTAATTTAGTTCACCAATTAAATAAAGATGATTTTGATCGGCGACAACGGTTTTGTGAAATTATGACAAAAAGATTGAGTTGACGTGGATTATCTTTTTAACATTTGTTTTTTCGACGAGTGCACGTTTTTTTTAAACTTAACGGTTAATCGTCACAATTGTTGATATTGGTCAGATAATAACCCAAGCATATTTCGTGAAGTTCATAGCCAAACTCCACAAAAACTAAATGTGTGGGCCAGAATCTTTGGAGATCAAGTACTTGGCCCCGTTTTCCTAGGTGGTAATCTAATGGGGAAAGTTATTTAGATTTACTTGAAAATGTTGTACATCCATTACTTGTTGATATCATCGAACATGACGACCGATACTTAGAAGACCGCCTTACTTTCCAACAAGATGGAGCCCCCCCGCATTATGCAAGACCAGTTACAGAGTTTTTGAACACGGTTTTTCCTGGGCATTGGATTGGACGTAGAGGTCCTTTAGAATGGCCGGCTAGATCCCCAGATCTTAGTCCTCTTGATTTTTTTTTCTTTGGGGACATTTAAAAAGTAAGATCTATGCAACCGAACCAGGATCTCTTGAAGAATTACGACAACGAATTGTAGACAAGTGTTCTAAAATAACACCCGAAACTTTCTGAAGTGTAAGAAACCGTTTTGAGCAAAATTTGTATTATTGTATGGAGGCTAGTGGTGCTCAATTTGAACATTTATTGAATACTTGATAACTTTTTCTTATGTTTGTTACTTTATTTGAAATAAATGTTTGTTTAGTTAATAAAAAAATGAATGAGTTTTTAAAATTTTTTGTTGTCTGTTGTATTCAGAATCGCAAAAACTTCATTGCAGAAAATGTCCCCCTTGAGATTAAAATCGACCTGTCTGAGCGATTTGCTTGGACGAACATGATAACTCCGCCGTTTCGTTTTCGTTGGGTCACCCTGTATACTAATGATTACAATAATTACACAGGCGATCGTATTCAGTTGAGGGACTATTCCCTTTTAGTTCACTTCAATCCAATAAGCCCATATATTACGTCTCATATAATTTTATCTGCACGTTGGCCGATTGGTTGAGAGCCAGTCCATTGAAAATAAACCTCCTTACACATACACTTTCTAGTCTATATCACGAATCACCACAGTCTGTTTCCTTAGTCGTCATGACACTGATGGAGATGGATTTCGCTCTCCCTTCATGCTCAATCAGTCTTTCCTCAAAAAATGGCAGCAACCCTTACCTTCAATCTCTTCCCAAAGACTCCGTCCTTCCTGGCTTAGGGAACATCTCGTACTCCAAAGAAAACCAAAAATAGGTCCTTCTTACGTGTAGTAGCTCACCATTTATACCCCCTTCTTCCCGGGGGTCATGTGTGCCACCATGTAACCTGTCTACGAGCCAATCACAACATGTTAACCCAACATCCAAAATGCAATTCACAACAACAAAAATCTTATAAACAAAAAAATCCGATACACTATAACAATAAATACACAGAGTTAATAATATAAATACAAATAGTGTCAGAGCACTACAGAGTTATTTCTAGTTCTATTTAGTGACAACTATACAAGTTTCAAGGTGACTTATAAAATGTATTGCATAGAAAATATAAAATGGGATACTTACCCATTTTACATTTTTCTTCAGAGGTTTAGCCTCAAATAAAAGGTTGTCTCATCAAGTGAGAACTATTTTTGGATTATTGCTGGTGATTGAAATGACTGACAGGAAGACATTAGTGTCATCAAGATATTTTTTATATTTATACTGATAGGAAGAAGTTTTATTTCTTCAGTTCTCTGCTTGCAAAAAGACAATCAGTCATAAAATGCTTGAGTGAAAAAAAGATTATGCATAATTTATAATTACTAGAAATTCCCATCAAGCATGATGGAATACTTTTTATGAGAAAGTAGAGATTTGAAGAATTGAGAAGAGTAGAGATTTCAAGAAATTCAAGAATTCTCAGTTCTTATTCTTTTAGATCTAGAATATACCTAACCAATCTTATTTTTATACTTTCCCACAGACTTTTGTTTTTTTTTTTCAAAAAAAGTCTTTATCTTTGTTTTATCAACCTAGAATTAATTGTATTTACTGTACATTAGTTAGATGAGTGATAACACTTCCTAAATAATGAACTCTAGATTGTTACTTTTGATTGGATAGGAGAATGTCACGTGGTCACTTATGGAAAGATTTTTTAAATTTGTTGTAGAAGTAATAATAATCCAGAAAAAACTTTCTGTACAAGTGTTATGTTCTTAACTACTCCACAAATGCTTTCAACCTCCACCGAGGTCTGCTTCAGGTGGTGACTGACTGTGTTTCTTCCTGACCGTCGTAACGAAGTCGCCAGAGATGTTTTGTTTGCAGATATGTCAGGACAGAGCCTGACATATCTGGAAGACCACTACCACTGAAAAATTTCTGGAGTTTTTTGACCTGTCTGGATTTAATCCTGGATCCCCAAAATAGTAGACTGTCACTTAGCTGCTCAGCCATCCACATGGAACTATTGCACCATATGCATATGAAGATATCTGGAAAGATATCTTTGCACCTGAATAAATGTTAAATGAACAACTTATATAAATAATTAATTATTGAAGGTGTATAAAAACACAAGTAATATGGTTTAGCCAAACTTTTTGTTAATTTTTATAATTATATTTAAATAAAGATTTGTAAATTTAATTATATTTAAAAAACTTAATCTCATGTAAATACAATTATAAAAAGTAAAAGTTTATTCATTTTCAAGTATTTCTTTATAAAATTTGATTACAGGAGGATGGTTGGGATACAGAGCCATTTGTTTTAACTGAAAAAAATGGAAAATTATATGGACGAGGTTCAACTGACGATAAAGGACCTGTTCTTTGTTGGATACATGCAATTCAAGCTTATCATAGAACTGGAAGGAAATTACCTGTGAACATAAAGGTATATAAATTTATTTTGAAGTTTAAAAGTTAACTGGTTTATTTTACAAAAAAAAAATTTCAAAACGAAAAAAAATCTGTGTGATTTGTTCTCAACATCAATCTTGTGCTAATTCTGAAGGAAATAAAACAAATTGAGAGAATAGTAAGAAATCAAGTACAGGTAGCCCTCGGTTTACGCCGGTTCAATTTATGCTGATTCACAATAACGCCGCTGCGCAATTCACTGTTTCGAGGTGTAATTCCCCAATTTTCCCTATGCCAGACTGATTTTCATTTCAGGGTTGACATATTTACCGAGCCCCAACATTTTACATTCGTTAAAACAAAGATTTTTATTGAATATATTTAGTTTTCCTGTTTAATCTTATTGGGTATGTATACATTTGCATTAAATTAATATTAAAATACTAAACAGTTAGGTACCCACGAGTCAAGTTATTAAACTTAATAGTCCAATAAATGGAGTCCGAATCCATAGCGCCAATGAATGTATCCCGTATAAGTTTGTTCAGGAAAACACCTTACAACGCAGTAGCACTTCTGGCGATCACAAACTATCGTTAGTGAGACAAATCTACTTCTCGTTGGTCAGGCAATACTTTTTTATTAGCCAGATGATATCTATCTCTCCTTAGCCATCTTGAATTTTCCCGCTCAAACTGACCTTATACATGCGCTACGATGACCAGTGGTCGACCAATCAGTGTCTCCGCTCGTCTGTAGCTCTATGTTGGGTTAACGTATCCTTTCAAGTATGGAAAGTTTGACAGATGAACTTTGTAGGTTAGACAACGATTGGAGTGAAGTACAAATGTAAAAAAAAGCATCATCACATCCATTCGACCATATTCTGAAATTCTCAATGAAAGAAAACAAAAATGTAAACAATCTTTTTTGGATGGATACTTTTTTCCGAAAAATATAAGAGATCCGAAACTAAAATTTTTTAATAAAAACATTTCACTTTATTTTATGATAAAATACATTTTAAAAATTAAAAATTTATATGTATTTTGTATTATATTGTATTAATAAACAAAATTATTTGCGTATTTTTCACTTATGTGGAACCTAACCCTATATTTCACTGTAAATATGGGTTCGTTTTACGCCAATTCGATTTGCGCCGGCTTTTGCAGGAACGGAACTGCGGCGTTAACTGAGGGCTACCTGTACTAAAAAAATCATTCAGACAAGACCTCTTAGGGCCTTTAAAAGTGCTGAAGTTTAAAGAATGCTAATATTTTTGACTTGGTTAATGGACAGAATTCTTTTCTTCTTAGTCTTTCACATCAATTGCTGCTGTCATAATTTGTCTCCTCCTATTTACTCTGAGTCTATCCCATCTTCCTTTATTACCAACACTTGCAATTTACATTCAACTGTCCACACCTGAAAATGGCCTGTTAATTAAGATAGAAAATGTTTACATTTTTTTGACTTTATTCACTTTTAAAGGTGCTTTAATTAATTCAACTTAGTAACCAAAGTGGTTACTTCATCCTGTCCTCTTAGCATAAGAAAAATTAAGAATTGTTATTGCTTTTTTGTTTAATCTTCAGAAAGTTTCAATTTTTGTAATGAATTTATTTGAATAAAATAATTTTTTTAAATACTTTAAAAAATATATTAAAAGATATAACATGTCTTGAATTAGTTTTTTTACCAAAAATTATTTTGTAATAAGAGAAGTCAAATAATAATTGGCAATTTAATTTAAACTCTAAAATTGTATTTATGATTTCTCTTTTTCTTTTTTAATCAGTCTTTATAAATTTACTATATATTTTATATAGTAAATTTATAAAGACTGATTTTTTTTTTATTATATATTTTATATAATTAAAAGAGAACTTTATTTTATATTTAATATTTTATAAATTGATAGTTAATATATTTAATTTTGTTCGTGATATTCATAAAACATATTTTTAATAGTTCTGTTTTGAAGGGATGGAAGAGTCTGGTTCTGAAGGATTAGATAAACTTGTTGATGCTCGAAAAGATACATTTTTTAAAGATGTTGACTATGTTTGCATTTCTGATAATTACTGGCTTGGAACAAAAAAGCCATGTCTGACTTACGGTTTAAGGTAATTGTAGATTACAAAGCTTTTTCTAGTTTATACTGTTTCATTTTTGAAATACTATTTGAATAATAATAAATGAAAAGCAGAATATATATAAAAAAAGAAAGAAAATGGTATACACTAACATTTCAGTATGTAAAACAGAACAATATCCTTTGGTGGTTACTTAAATGTTTGGGCAGTAAAAAATTCAATATAACTAATAAATTGCATCACTTTCAGGAAAATAAATTTACATTCCATCTTTTGCATGCTAACTGTAACTTAAACTGTTCCAGAATAAATCAGGCTTTGAATGAAGATTTAAGAAATCTTTATTGGTGAAGTTCAGTGGCTGTTGTTTAAAAATTTATACCAAATTTTTAAATAATAGACATTCAACTTACTACTAATTCATTGTAATTATTGAATAAATGCATTAAATATTTTTATCTAGGATTTATACTTGGAATTATGACTAATATGGACTGTGCTAAACATTTTCTTCATATTAAAAAAATTCAGCAATGAATTGCATAACTTTTACAACAAAAAAGTTAAAATTGTATGTGGTGCCATTTGTTATGAGATTTTATTTTAAAAATCTATTATTACTAATTATTATAAAATGGTAATTTTGAGGTTAGTGATGAGTTTTATAAAAATTAATGCTAATAATGAGTAAAATCTTCATTAAGTCCAACCACATCATAGATATGATAATCCTCAATCTCCCAATCCCTTGGCCTTTAACCATCAAAATTTAATGCTCCTAACTCACAAACCTCTTTGCAAACTTTTGGATATTTTTGACAGACACAGGAGTTAAGCTTTAAAGTGGGTGAACAAAATTGTGTTCTCTCATACAAATTAACATCAACATAAATAGGAAAAAATAACCCTAAATTTTTTTGCATTTTTCAACATTTCAAAGTCTTGAGCCCAAAAATATAAAAATCTTCGGTTCATTTTTCAACTGATTGTTATACTTTCCTCCTGTTATATATAATAGCAGGGAAAGTAATTGACCTTATACAGTCGAGTCTGCCTAAGTCAACGCCCAAAGGAGAGGCAGAAATGTGTCGAGTTATCTGATATGACAACTAAAACAAAGTTGAACTAAATCACAAAACTACAATTAGGAAAATACAGTAGTGCTTTATACAGTACATGCAATGTATCACTGACCATCCATCACTGGCACTAAAGTTGGTTTCTACTCCAAGTACCCCAGTGATTTCCATCATTTTTTGTTTCAGTATTGGCCCCAAAACAGGAAGATTTGATGAACAAGTTGCTTTAGCCATTGTAACAGAGCATCTTTGACATCTTTGTACGGCGACTTTCTCTGGCATTTTTGAGACAGCCACAATGAAGACCCAAGAAAAAGTTTCTTAAAAGAATTCTGAAGAAAAAAGAGTAATTTTTTTTTTCTTCAGAATTCCCACTAATGTTGTTCTTAGAAGGTGTTTTTTTTGTTTTGCAAATTTGGCTTGTGAAACTTTATTACATTCAAATTCAGAAACAAGTTTGTATTTTTTTCTTAAGCGTAAGCATTGCAATTTAGGTTTTTAATACTCATTTCTAACAGAAATGTGAAACACTTGCTGCAAATAATACGTGAATGAAAGGTGAGAAAATGCAAAATTGGATTCTGCTGTGACGTCAAGCTGTGTGGTATGAACTCATTTTTTTCAGGAGGGAAGTCAACTTATCAGACATCTAAAGGAATGTGGGACAGAAAGTGTGTCGATTTTATCCAGTGGTGATGCGTTAAACAGTTTAGAGTAAACCAGAGTTTTTTAACATTAATGCCTATGTAAGTTTGCTGGGACCACAGAAAACTGACTACTTAACTGACAGTGTCTAGTTATACCTATGGCTACTTATGCAGACTCAACTGTATATACTTATATAAATTTGAAAATTCTGTTTTAAATTTAAATGTCACTTTGCATTTTGATGCTTATGATTAAATTTTAATTATTTTTTATATTAGAGGAATATGCTACTTTTTTATTGAGGTTATCTGTTCCCAAAAAGATCTACATTCTGGTGTTTATGGTGGAACAGTGTAAGTATTGTTACATAATTTATATTGTATCTTATTTTAATATTTACTAATGCATATTTATTATAGTCATGAAGCAATGACAGATTTAATAGCTTTAATGGGAAGTTTAGTAAATGAAAAAGGTGAAATACTTATTCCTGGAATTATGGATGATGTAGTACCTGTGACTGAAGATGAGAAGAAAATTTATGAAAATATTGATTTTGACATTGTATGTTAAAAATATTTTTATATATTAAACAAATTTTGATTTTATTTTTAAATTATGCATGTGCACACTTGTATACTGTATACAGAGTGAATGAAAAATTTCTAGCACCCTTTTCATTCCAAAAGTACTGACACAGTTGTTTCCATCAGAATCATTTGTATGTTGTTTTTGAAAATTAGTTTACAAATTTCAACTGAAGATAAGTCCATCTTTATTTTAAATTGTTAGTTTTTGTTTTATGTGGTTTACTTTGTGTTTATACACCCTTTGTGATGCACTTAAGACCCCCCCGTGAGACAGGAATACAGACACTTATTCTGACTTTATTCGAGGTTCTACTTGGACTGTCTCCACTCTTATATATTTACTCAGGGCTGTCTGTCTTGCACGTCCCTCTCTCTCTGATCTTGCCAGATCTTACTGTGAATACGGGGGCGTAAGGCTCCCGCTCTATAGTCAGGATAAAATGTCAACCGAGGGGAAAGGGAGGTGATTGGGGTCGACGATAAGGTGAAGGGTGAGATCGAGTAAAGGAGTCTACCATTACTTTAACAAATATAAAAATAACAATTTATTAAAGAATAGGAAAAATGACAAAAACTACACAAAGCTCTATACCGTCAGAGAGTTTCTATACCGACTTAGAGAGAGTTTCACCGTACTTTCATACCTCATATAATCAACAATTCTGAACGTGGATGCCTTTAAAATATCGATTCAAAGAATAATCCACAAATACGGCACAAATTATATAAAATCGCGACTTTCGCGCTCATTTAATTCGAGGTTCATCGGAGATCGGAATTCGGCTCATTTGGAAGATGGGCGCGATGTTGTTAATCCTGCGTTCGGTAATAGACTCCCCTGAGAAGGGGTAAGAACGGCCTTTTATCCGTTTTAGTGGGGAATTTCCACCACGTGATCGGATGTACATAGGTTAGGGGTTATAGGTGTTCCAGGGATCTATAACAAATGACGACATTTAGATGCTATCAACCTTTTTGCAAGATAAGATGCAAGTTCTGCAGAGAACAATAGATGTTGCTACTTAAGACCGGAAAGTTTACACAATCCCGGGCAAGATCGTTTTTTCTACTAGGGCGTTACATAAACTAAAGTTTTGATTAATTAACAATTTTGTTAATAAATGAGCGATATTTTCGTCACCAAAAGTCCGGATCTCACATTACCGTAACAGTTTTAATGATTGTGTATAAACTACACATATTTAGGTTCTCATTCCTGTGTTTTGTTTGATTTATAATATCCTGTTAGGCCAACAAAAAAGTGTCAGAAATCCAATATGGCAATGAAGTTCAACAAGCAGTGCCTTTAGGTGATATTTTGTGTATTTCAAATGATACTAAATTATGAAAATTGAGTAGAGATATTAGAATTTGTAAATTTTTTATTAGCTACTCCAGAAAATCAAACCAGAGGCATTAGAAAGTGAAAATCTAAGAAGACCCAGACAAAAATGCAAAAATTGGTCTCACACAGACTGCAGAGGTGTAGAAACACCAAATAATTATAAATGCAACTATTGTTTTATGCAGATCTTCAAATGAAATTATGACTGTCAATGCCTAACCATTGAGGGGTAATACCCAACATGTTTGGGTATTCCTGCTTGATTGATAGCTTTTGAAATTGATCAACTTTCCATCAGTCACGGTGTATCTCTCAGATACAAGTGCTTTGAATTGTTTATTTTCTAGAAAATGTGAGGTGTGCTGAACCAGATGTCTCAGTAGCTTAATGTTTAACTTCTTAGAACTTGTTGACCTAGTGTCATTTCTGCATTTTTGTTTAGTGCCATTGTGCTTCTTGTATCTGTGAGATACAGTGCGATTGATTATGTAACTGTAAAAGCTGGTGTGTTGGTAGCAAGATGGAGTGTTTTAGCCTAGAAAATGAGCAAGATATTGAACTAATTTGCACTATTTTGTTGAATAGTGAACCTGAAGATAATTCTGAATATGATGTGAGTGACAATAGTTTGGAAAGTGAACACAACAATTTTGAGGAAAGGAAAAACAATTTAGAGAGTGAACAAGATGCAGAAGGAGAATGTAGTGAAAGTATCAGTGAAGTAAATTTCATCAGAAAGAATGGCATTATGACTTGGAAAATGGTTTCTAGCTCTAACAGAGTTTGTTGAAATGCTCACAATATTGTAATTAAACTTCCTGGTGTAATTGGAGAATCAAGATTTGCCAAAACAACTGGGATGTTTGAAATGTCTATTTACAGACAATTTATTGGAAGACAATTTACCAATCAATATATAAAAATTACAGCAAAACTTTTCAAGAGAAAAAGATGCAAAATTTACAGATAAGATTGAGATTAAAGCGTTTATAGGTCTGCTGTATTTGGTGGGAGCACTAAGAGGAAGCAAACAGTCTGGAAGAACTTTGGGGTACAGATGATGGTGTTGAAAAATTCCGTCACATAATGAGTCTCAGATGATTCAAGTTTCTCATAAGAAGCATTAGATTTGACGATTTTCTACAAGAGAAAAGAGAGAAATTTGATTGGTTGCCCCTGTCAGGGACATTTTTGAACAATTTGTGAAGAACTGCAAGAAAAACTCATCTCAGACAAAATGTTACCATAGATGAGAAATTGGAAGCTTTTCGAGGAAGATGCATATTTCTTCAGTATATTCCTTTAAAACCTAACAAACATGGCATAAAAATTTGTGTTGGTAGATGCAAAGTTGTTTTATTCCTATAACTTGGAAATTTATCCTGGAAAGCAACCTGAGGGTCCTTATTGCATAAGTAACAAACCTTCTAATGTCGTGAGAAAGTTAGTAGAACTGATATATGATACTGGTTGAAATATTACTGCAGACAATTGATTTTCAGATATAAATTTGGTATTTGAATTGCAGAAGAAAAAGCTTTCATTTTTAGGTACTTTAAGGAAAAATAAGCCACAACTTCCAGCTGAATTTATCTCAACAAAGAACAGATAAATATAGTCAAGTTTGTTTGGTTTTGGGATAGAGGCAACTATTGTATCATATGTTCCTAAGAACAACAAAAATGTTATTGCAATATCATCTTTATATTATGATGATGCTATAGGTCAAAGTATAGGGCAGCAGCAAGAGCCAGAAATTATCACTTTCTATAACAATACAAAAACAGGTGTCGATATTGTGGACAAAATATGTGCTATGTACAATGTTGCCTGCACTTCCTGTCAATGGCCTATGGTAATTCTTTATGCCTTACTAAATATTGGATTGTTCAGAAACTAATTTCATTTTTTTTCCATGGGGAAAAAAAACAATATTTTTATAATAAATAAATATTTTATTGAATTATATATCGACCATTTTGGTCAAATACCTGTTGTCATCATTTCTGGTAATAGCATGATTTCACATTCATAAGTTTTTGTGGTGAGCATGTGGACGAACAATACAATGAAAGTTGTCTACAATAAAAGTTTTTATTGTCGGCTCGTGCAGTTTTACATATACAAAGTTCTTTCGGATCCCAACTCCAATATATACGATTTTCGTAACATATACTTCTATTGGTACAAGGGAGTGACATGGTTTTTTCGCGACAATGCAAGATTTTTCTTAACCTACCTTAACTTTTATACTAATGAAGAAATATAGAACGAAAGAGTTAAAATTAAGATTTTAGATTAATAAGAACAAGACAAAGTTGCTGGTGGGGTACCCGTATTTCCTTCCTTCCTTCCTTTATACTTCGCTAGTATCTAGGTAAAGACTTTTGCTGATTTTCCTTCCTTTTGTCTCTTCCGTTATTTTTCTCTCTCAATGTTCTCAGATCATTCAGTTTCTCTCTGGTTTCGACGACCAGGACTTCCTTCTCTACCTGTCTGTCTCCTTCGAACGCTAGCTTCAGAATGTCCCTCTTTTTCTCTGACTTGCCTCGGGGTCTCTTCCACACCCTTGTTTTCTGTTGTATTTCTCAGAAACGTTTTTACCACCAGCAGGGAGGAAAGACCGTTAGAAAGTTCGAGAAAGTTCATAGACAAAAGACTTAGGAAACTTAATATTAAGTTTAATACTAAAGACAAAATATATATACATTTGGTGGATCACCACATTTTGATCATTGCTTACAAAAAACTGATCCAAGTGATTTTTGACATTGGTCATTTCAAGTAAATGTCTTACAATTAAAAAAAATTTGTATAGACCGGAACAAGTAATAATCTGAGGGTGCTGGATCTGGAGAATATGGTTGATGTGATAGCATGTCCCATCTAAGTTATAACAGTTTCTGACGAATTACCAAACTTGTGTGAAATTTGACATTATTGTGGCAAAACACTACACCTTTTTTGTTGATCAATTCTGGCCTTTTCTGTTTTATATTACTCCATTTGTTTACTCAATGGCAGTACACTTTTGAATCAATTTAACAATTGATTCAAAAGTGTACTGCCATCGAGTAAAAAAATTTCTTTAAAATCTCAAAAAAAAAATTTCCGTAAAATCCCACCAAAGAGAACATCTCTCTTTAAGAACATATGGAACCCATATGTTCTTAAAGCTTCATAAAGCCCATATGTTCTATGTTTCGAGCTTTGAAACAAAACCAGTTTGTTTCAAGTAATCATGAACAGTTCAATTTGACAAATTTAATCTCTTAGCAATTTCACATGTTGTTCGGCAGTTCGGCAGTACCTTTATTTTGTTTTCATTGTCTTCAACTGGCCATTCAGAACGTGGTGTATCTTTAATATTGAAATTGCCAGAACGAAATTTTGTAGACCAGTTTTGGCACTGTCGTTCTGTCAATACATCATCTCCATGCATGTCTCTCACAATTTTTTTTCTCGCTTGAACAGCATTCTTACTTTTTTGGTAATGAAAGAGCAAAATATGCCAAAAATGCTGCTTTTGATCTTCCATATTTGATGGGACACAAAAAATAAACAATTGCACAAAATCAAACAAAATTTTTTACAAATAAGCCTTAAAACGCTAGCTGTCAAAATATATAATATATAATGATAATACGGTTTAGAATGAAAATGGCAGGAAAAATACGACTAATTCGTCTAGTGGTAAAAAAAATGAAATTACTTTTCGAACAACCCAATATTTGTGGGATAAACTCACAAGTAATCTACATGGGCAACAAATACAAAGTGAAGTCATGTAGATGTTATTTGAAGATGTTATCTGCAGAATTAGTTATAGGCTAAATTCAACAAAGATGCCATCCATCAGAAGTGATGCCTGCACCATCAGTTAATAATGAAAATAATAAAGAAGGTGGGAAGCGGAAACAGTGTGTCAGTTGTCAGAGGATTCAAAAAGGACAAGGTTGACCAAATATTTTTATGATAAATGTAAAACTAACTTACGTCTGGAACATGTCCAAATAATTTGTACCAATTGTACATAAAATGTAAACATTGATTGCCAAAACTAAAAGATAAAAAGAAATATATTCAAAAAGTGTTTTTTGAACTATAAATCTCTAAAATAGTTTTTCTTTTCAATATTTCAATAGAATCACAGATATATCTGACAAATACAGTGCGACTGATGGAAAGTTAACAATAGAATTATGCTGGTCATCTACTAACTGCTTTCAGGAGAAGTTTTGAATTGACGTAATGTGACTTCCAGTTTGCATCAGAAGTTTGTATATAGTTAATTGTGGCGTCTTGCCCCTAAGGTTTCCATATCTGGTCTCAGATTTCATCTGTCTAACTCCGTTCTTGAGATTAAGGAAAGACAGATGGATGGTCAACAGTGGGAATTTATAGGTCTACAGTTTTTTCAAATTGCAGCACAAATACTGTGATAAAATAATTAACATTCTCTTCTAGTGTTTAGAAAATGCAGCAAATTCAAAAATAAAGTCATTCCTGTTGTCTTATTGATGTCTTGAGCTACATTTATGGGTTGAGATCATTACTATTTTAATTTTTTGTTTAAAATCAAATAGGTACTAATGGCAATAGCTAATTCTTATTTAAATTTAATGTTCTTAAAGTATTGGATCTGATGATAAGATTTTGATATCTTGAAGAATATTTATTAATTTGGAATAAAACACCATTACTTGAACAGCTTGTATTTTTATGGCGTTTTTTGCTTAAGTAATTTATGGAGTTATGATTTAAAAATGATAATAAAATTAGTGAACAATATATAATAAATTCTTAAACAAAAAATTTTAATTTTTGTTTAGAATGAATATAGAAGTGAAGTAGCTGCAAGTCGATTATCTCGTCATACAAAGGAAGAAGTATTGATGCATCGTTGGCGTTTTCCTTCTCTCTCTCTTCATGGTAAAATTTTAAATAAATGCTGTTAATGTAAGCTATAATTTTGAGTTATTGCAAGTCACATACTTTTATATTGAGTAATTTTAAAAACAGTCGTATACCAATTTTTTTTTTAAAGAGCTTATCTTTAAAAGAATCTATAATCATGTAACAATATTTAATTAACAAAATTGCCATTAAGTATTATATGTCCTGTGATTTTGTTACACCTCTCTTGTTACTTATGAATTTCCTGAGGGATAAGTGACTTAAATATGTTGGGCATGTGATACTTCTTAAAATTAGTCCGTATTTCAAAATTTAATATTTGTAGTTATAAAATATTATGAATCTTGATATAGCATGTTTACAGCTATATAGTAATTATGACAAGTTTTTTCTTATAATTTTAATTTATAAGTTTTCTTTATTTTATTCATGAAATCAGTTTGAAAGTTTAGAATTTTAAAGATGATAAAAAAAAAATTATGCTTTTGTCTTTATTTAACATAAAAAAAGAAGAAAAAAATATTAAGAAAAAATATAATTTAAACTTATTTAAAAAAAAAAAAATAATAATAATAATAATAATATCAATATAGGAAATATACCATGTCATTCCTATTAGAAGCTTGCTGGGCTTAAACATTTTCCAAAATATGGGCTTTTATTAAAATCATTATTTATTGTATATAAAGTACAAAATATGGTTTTTAAAACTTTCTATTATCACTACTTTTAATTTTGTATACAGATAAGGTTTCTCTCTCCCTTGCAGACAGTATTTGAATTTATGGAAAATGCTGTGGGAGAAAAAGAGAAGGCAATAGAGATCAGATAGTTTTTTTTTTCTTGTTATTTTTAGATTAAAATGTGAAAACATTCTTTAAATTCTCTTCCATAAATCAGCTATCAATCATGGAGGACAGTTTTTATTTTTTATAACTCTATAATTAAATTCACCTGTGTTGACTAAAACAGTGAACACAATAAAAACCTAACATATTATTCATATATACATACATATTGCAACCTTACATATTATCTATATGTATGACATACCTAGCTGTAATATAAACAGATTTGTATTATTATTAAATATTACACTTTTTATGAAGCTTCATTGTGTATTTTATGAAACTTCATTGCGATTCTGTTAGTTTTTTTATGGAAAAATTATCTCAAATTCTGTCTCCACTGTTGGTATGACTATAAATAACTGCAAGACATTAATGTAGGAAAAAAATTGTAGTAGTAGTAGTAGTAGTAGTAGTAAGGGAATAGACAGTTACTGGTATTTTTAAAAATCTTGAATTAAATTAGAATATATTGTTTATTGTAGGTTAAGATACTGATTTTTTCATAACAAATATATGGTATCATGGTGGGGAACTTGATTAGGATCAAAGAAATGAATAAAAAAAAATTTTTCTTGTAAGAAGGGATCACAGATAAAAAGTTGACTAGATTCTGACATAGGGTGAACCTTGTTAATTTTTCTACAGATAAAGGGCGTAAGTATAAAGGATCAAGATGAATATACAATAATTTCAAGGAGTAGATATGATGATTATCTCCTACAAGATTTCAACTCTGCTTTCTTGAGGTAGGAGATATCCTGTCTGGACAAGTGAGAAAAGTCAGAACCCTTTTCCATAAGAGAATCAAAATGTAGTGAATAACATAAATTTATAATTTCACTAACATTTTTGACACTTTTATGGTATAATCTTTAAGTGTAAGAAGAGAGTCAATATATTAAGTATTCTTACCAAAAGAAAATAACAAATTTCAGTATTCTTAACAATTTTTTTAAATGTATAATAAATGAATGTCTGTGCACATGCTCCATATCTTTTAGTATTACAGAAAGCCATCATATAAGCCTATCACTGGAAAATACATGTTTCATATGAGGTAAATAATAATAACATTGAAGTCATAAATTTCTTGTGTCAGTCGTTTTTCCGCATCAGTCATTTTTTCCCTTGAGTCCCGCCAAAAACAATAGATCAAGAATCCACTGTATATACGTAAATAATTTATATGGGAACTGCAGTTTGGCCACCAAGATATATCTTTACGAATATGTTTTAGTTAAAATTATTTTTAACTACAGGGTTTTTTTATTTTTTTTTTAAGAATTTATTTTTAAGAAGTCAAGAAGATATTCATAAAATTTCTTAGGATGAAAGGTTTTTGAGTAATATCATTTTAAATACTCTATCAGCTATTGACACATCATTTTCTTATTATTTGTAGATATTTTTCATCCAGATTATAATTACTATTAGTATTGGAAAAATAGTTTTAAAGTATTTGGTTCATCCAATTTTTTTTATTATTCAAAAACTGAACACTCCATCAAAGGGTTAAAATTTTTCCATTGTTAGGATCTTAAATTTTCAATACGGATCTATCATTTTTAATTTTCAAACTTCAGAAAGCTGGAATGAACAGAAAATGTTGATAATAGGTTTTTCCACCTATTATCAACATTTTCTGTTCATTCCAGCTTTCTGAAGTTTGCATATAAAGAAAACCATAAAAAAAGAGAAAATGGAAATTAGAATGAGAGCATAGGAAAGTCATAAGGAAGGAGCAAAATTAACCAAGCTGGAAAGAAGGGAATTTACTGTTAGCAGATTTAAAAGTGAGGAAATTAGATCTAATAAAAATTCAAGATGACTTTTTTCTACTAAGAATCATTGAAGCTTATTATATGATGATTTAGATAATGTTTTGATGATTGTTTAAATCTCTAGAAAGAATTCATTTTTTAGGACAGTTAGTTGGCTGATCTTATTTGTCTGGGAGACCCAAGTTCAAATGCAGATGATAGAAAAACTCCAGGAGTTCTATAAGTGGTTCATCTCAGATATATTAGATTCCATTGCTCATTGGTCACTTCTGTTGTGACCAGGTGGTGAGTTCTGGTTACAACAGAACCCACAATGGATATGAAAAAATACCCTGTATGTACCCACAGGGTGAAAAGAGCCAAAAAATGGAGAAAAAGTGTCATATTTCCACTTTCTAGCATATGAAAAGTTAAAAATGACAGGATTTGTATATCCATTTTGTTTTCATATTTTTAGATTCCAGAACATTAAAATGGAAGAGTTTAGTTTTCTCCAATAATAATTGTTTTTTGAACAATAAAGAACTAGAAATGAGATCAGAAGACAAACAGTTTTATAAAACTTTTGATTTTATCATTTTCTTAAAAATATTAAATATGTAATTAATTCTATATTTTATTTTTATTAACTTATCTGTTATTAGGAATAGAAGGAGCATTTAGTGATTATGGATGCAAAACAGTTATTCCAAGAAAAGTAATTGGAAAATTTTCCATTAGAATAGTACCCAATCAGAAACCAGAAGTGATAGAAAAACTAGTTGTGGAATATTTGGATAAAGTATTTGAAAAACGAAATAGTCCTAATAATTACAGGTATCTAAAAATATTTATTTATTCTTTTTTCTAAGCCAAATGATTGCCATAATTAATCAAGCTATTATTATGCTATAATTAATAATTAGAAACTAAGTAATTTGGCACTAGAGGTAGATGTTAGTCACCAACTCTTATCTAAACTAATAATTAGAAACTAAGTAATTTGGCACTAGAGGTAGACGTTAGTCACCAACTCTTATCTAAACTAATAATTATAATAATTTATTAAATAATTTAGAACATTCTGGAAGAAAAGAACTAGCGTGAAAAGGGACTTGAACTCGCAACCTCTGCTTACTGTGCAGTGCACTTTCCAGTTACACTATCTGAATCCCAAGCAAGTCTTTGCTACCAGACATATTTAAATTTAGATATTATGGTTACTTATTGTGACTCCTATGCCCATAGCCTATATACTCCTCCCCTATATATATACACACACATCATGCTGGGTAAAACAATAGTTGTGTGAATGTTGTAGTGAAGTTTAGTTTAAACAAATTATATATATATATATATTTAGCCTTATAACAAATAGGGTTTGTGTCAGGAAGGGCATCCGGCCATAAAACCTTTGCCAAAACTACATGGAATGTCTGCTAGATTACAAATAAGTTATAACTGTGTTAGGACATCCCCTGAAGTGATGCACAGTCATGTCGTCTGAAAACTATGTCAAATGAGCTGGGGCTACCGAACCAAGGACTGGTCGGATAAAGAAGTTAGTCCAGAAAGAGAAGAGGAAGAAGACAAGTATAAGAATAGGTACTTTAAACATTGGAACATTGAATGGGTAGAGTAGAGAGTTGGTTGATCTTATGCAAAGGAAAGTGAACATTTTGTGCTTGCAAGAGACAAGATGGAAAGAAAATAAAGCTAAAGAACTTTGTGAAGGATACAAGTTATTTGTGAGTGGAGCAAATAAGGGAGGAAGGAATGGAGTTAGTATCATAATTGAAAGTTCTAAAAGACAGAGTCTGCGAGTTAAATGAAGGTGTGATAGAATTATAAGTGTTAAGTTGGATGTTGTTGGATTTTTCATTACAATTGTGTGTGCATGCGTGCTTCTAAGCCAGATAGTGGAGAAGAAGAAAAGACAAACTTTTGGACAGAACTTGACCAAGTTAAAATGTGTGTTCCTATGAACAAGAGATTAATCTGTGGGTGTGATTTACATGGTCATGTTGGGAAGAGGAAGAATGCAGAAAGAAAAGCTCTTGGGAGGTGGAGTGTGGGAGAAAGACTAGTCAATCATGCTATGGGCTTTTGACCTTGCGCTGGTTAACACCTACTTTGAGAAGAAAGCGAATCAACTGGTTACATACATGAGTGGAGGTAGATCCAGCCAGATTGATTTTTTGTGTTAGCCAGATTGAACAAAGGATGGAGATTGAAAGAGGAGGAATTAAGGAAAGAGTTTAATGTAAAAGTGTTAAAAGAAATCCAGTTCCTGGATGATGTGCAAACATGGTGATTGCTGAATAGTAATTGCATTTTGAAAGTTGGAGAAGAGGTTTTGGGAAAAACTTCAGGGAAGAGATTGCCAGGAGGAAAGGAACTTTGGTGGTGGAATGCTGAGGTACAATCTGCAGTTAAACAAAACAAAGAGGCAAAGAAAAGGTGGGATTTGATGGAAAGGCCTGAAAATAAACTTACCATTTGGCAAATAAAATGACTAAAAAGGCAGTGGCTATTGCGAAAGCAAAGGCTTTATAAGAAGCTTATAAAGTTTTCAAAAGGAAAGGTGGTGAAAGGCAGTTGATGAGAATTTCCAAAGCAAGAGATAAGGCATCAAAAGATCATCAAGAGAGCAAGAGAAAAGGCATCAAACCTCTATTAAACTGATTAAAGGTGATAAAGGAGTGGTATTACAAGATTACGAAAGGGTCAAGGAAAGATGGAAAAAGAGGAAGACCAAAGATGCATTGGAAAGATAAGGTGGAAGAAAACTTGAACCAGAGGGAACTTAAAAGAGAAGAAGCCCTTGATAGGGAGAAATGGAAAAAATGTATTAGAGAAGGAAATGCTGACCCTATATAAACATGGGAAAAGGCGAAGATAAAAGTAGTAGTTTAGGAACAGAACTGTTAATCTACTCAATGGATAACAGCAAAATTCACTTGGTGGCATGAAAATTAACTATTTTTTGTCTTCTTTACATCACTTTGAGTACTATCAGTTTACTTATAACTACTCTGTATATAAATAAATACCCAAAACAATTTCTTAGTTTAGAAAACAAACATTGATTGAAAATATTTTATTTAACTTATTATATAACCATCTTCAAAATAGAAACATTCAACAGAATAGATGACAATGCAAGATTATAACTTGGCTAATTAAATAGCTACTCTTCATTTATAAAATACTAGCAGATGAGCCTGGAATTGCTCAGGCAAAAAATAACAACAAACATTAAGAATATTAGATTATTTCATACTTCTAACCTTTATATAAATCAAATACTATAATATAATATATAACTACGAATGTTATCTTATATAAAGGTTTAAAATACCAATTGTCATGAATTTTAAAAATTCTTTAAATTTTGTACAGTAAAAGGAATGAAGAATTTTGAAAATGTGTTAGGTAAGTGTTTATCATACCAAGTGAACAACCTAAGATAACCTTTGTAGTTACATAAATCAAATACTCTAGTATTATAATAAAACAAAAACCATATAGTTTGGTTATTTTAGCCAACCATTGTCATGTTTATCATGATACTCAAACAGCATGAAATGGCACAATTTCATTGGTCAAGTAGACACCAAAATGTGGTATCTTAAATTTTTTCAGATATCATAATTTTTTCTCTACCTCTAAGAATGTTACCTCTAAGAAACTGCTCCATTCACAGTCAAATATCAAATGGTCATCTGACAACTATTCAAATTTCATAAAAAAGGGTCTGAATATTTAAACTTGGCACCTTCAAAAACCACTTAAATCATATTTTGTGCAGGCCAGTAACCTTGATAGAAATTTGGGATCGTTGTGGAAAAGGATTCAAATAAAATTGAAGTAATTCGAGGAAAAGTAGTCATTGACCACCTGCTGAATACTGGTCTACTATTAATATTTGAAAAGTGATCCGTGTCAGACAGGTTGTGATGGCTCCACATGTGATAGTTTCTAACCTTAATGTCCGAAAGACTTCATATGACTTGTTTAAATAAAAAAATCTTGTAAAACTGAGAATAATTGCTTTTATATTATACCTATGCAAAAACACCTTATCTCAGTGAGAATTATTTATTAGCCATAATGAACATTTTCAACCTTTAACCAACTTTTTTTAATCTGTTTTATTATTTTAAATTGTATATATATTACTGTAATTTATTCTTTGGATTCAAATAGCTCAATATTCCAAAGAATTTTGTATTTTAAATGTGTTCTTAACTGTTCTTTTTTGTATAGAACAGTTATCAATATTCCTTGATCTTTAAAAACCTGAAGATGGCCTGTAGAACAAGTTGAAAATGTTTATGGTTAATAAATAACTCTCAGTGAGATAAGTTGTTTTTTGCATAGGTTAAGAAGCATCCAGCTGGGTATTAATTAAGTATTTTATGTTATAATAGTGTTTTTATTTTTTCAACAGATTGTATAAACTATGTGGGAAGTATGGTTTTGTAAATATAGTGTTTATAGAAAAATTATTGGACTGCAATTTGAAAAAATTGTAGACCAATACATTTTTTGACTGTTTTCTGTCTGTATGTCTGTCCTTTCTCAATCTCGAGAAAGGAGTTAGACACATGAAAGACGCAACCAGATGTAGAAAGCTTGGGGGCAGCAGGCTGAGATTAACTATATAGGAACTTCATGTTTACAATGGATGTCACATTACATTGATTCAAAACTCCTCCCCAAACAAAGTTAGATCTATGACCAGCACAACTGTATTGCTAAGAGGAAAAGTATGATGTAAGGAGCAAGATTACCACAAAAAAATTGAGAATATTGTGATGAAAAGTTGCAGCCCAGCATTGTGACGATGTCACAATAAATAATCACCTGTTAGAATTTGGTTTGATTAGAGTTTGATTTGATTTGATAGAGTTTGATTTGAATTTGGTTTGGTTAGAGTTTGATTTATTTGGTTACTGCAATGTGACAAGAGTGTTCTACTGGGAGAAATGCAAACCAGGAAAACTTTATGGGAAGCTGGACTCTATTTAGGTGAAGAAAACCCGGAAAAACTCCTCATGGCCAGCCTGTTTGCCATGTTCGAACCCACGACTAAATAACTACCAGAGTTTGGTGGTTTTATGCACTCGTCTACCAGAGGACGCTTATTAGAATTAAAGTATCATTCAGAAGTGAAAAAATCCATGTCGTTAGATGTGGAAAATTAAATACTTATAGATTTTTCACAAGGTAACACTTTTGTATGCACACAGGCAAGTGCTGTATACTACCTATCTCAGTAATGATATAGTCCATCTACAAGGTCTGTTCAAAAAGTATCGGACCTTTGGTCGGCAAAAATAAATTTATTGACTTTGAGGTACAAAACCCTAATCTCCTTCAAAGTAGTCTCCTTGGTAATGTATACACTTCTCCCAGCGTTTCTGCCATTGCTGGAAACACTGCTGGAACGCATCTTTTGGAATGGTAATCAGCCGGTCCGTCGCATTTCGCACGATGTCTTCTCTCGACTAAATTTGGGTTCCTTTTAGCGGCATTTTCAGCTTGAGAAATAGCCAAAGGTCACACGGAGCCATGTGGAGAGAGTACGGAGCGTGACGAACCACAGGAGTATTGTGTTTGGCGACGAAAGCCCGAATCAGATGCGCAGAATGGGCGGATGCGTTATCACGATGGAGCTGCCAAGTTTTGATCGACCACAGATCCCATCGTTTGCATCGCACTGTATCGGAAAGACGACGAAGGACCTCCTGGTAGTACTCCTTTGCGATGGTTTGGCCTTGTGGTGCGTACTCACGACACACCACCCCACGAGAGTCGAAAAAACTGTCAACATGACCTTTGATATTGCTGCGGACCTGCCGCGCTTTTTTTGGCCTCGAGGATCGTCCCCGAAAGCCTGCTGAATCTTGCGAATGGTTTACACTCGGGTATCGCCAAGGTTTTTGGCAAAATTTGATGTAATATCGCTGCTCACGTTGTTCAGTCATTTTCCAGCTTAGTGAAATCCGACGAGAGCGCACTACATGACCTCACTCATACGCCGATTGCCAACGACTGACGCTTTCTGCAGGCGGGAAAAAATTCAGGGCTGTGCATGACTGTCCCCTCCACAACTCCACCGAAGGAGGCCTCTCTCGCATCATTGGTTTACGCGGAAAAAAATAAGGTCCGATACTTTTTGAACAGACCTTGTATTTTGTGCTATATCATTGTTGTAATAATTAAGTGAATATAATATATATATTATTAATTTGAAGACAGTCTGTCCAAAATTGGTAACCACCATTTATTCACTTGTGTTCCAGAATACAAACAATTGACGACCTGACCTTTCTTTTTAGACTACTTGGCCGTCAAGTTTAAAAACATTCTTTTAAAAAACACAGAAAAATATCCAATTAAAATCACACATTTAAAATTTGAACTGGCAAATTTTACAGATATCTTCATTTTTCTTTCCATCCTTCAATTTTAATTGGATATTTTTTGTTTTTTATCATGAAAAAACAAAACAGAAACAATGCAAATTGATGAATCCTCATGCAATTTTTAAACAAGCAATTGAAACAAGTGGGGTTTGGGTTGAGCAAAGTAAGCAGAAGGGGATTGGACCTGGAGGGTAGGTTGGACTGCCTATCCCACAAGAGAAGTAAAGCCAGTGAACCAAATGGGGTTGGCTCCTCCTTGCATAGGGTTGGATTGTTACAAAATTTTTATGGATCATTGATATTAAGAACAAATGAGGAGTTGGACTGCTGTAGTCAGATGGGGCAAATCCCTCTAGTACAGATATAATGTAATTTGGAGTAAAGGTATGCAATTAACTTTCCATCCATCTATATATATATATATGCTTAAGATGGTAATGTAATGTTTTAGGGTTTGTGAATTAAGCGTTTTGCTAAATTTGTTTGCGTCAACATGGTGCCTGGTTTTGTCTGTTTCTATTACTTTTGTACTTTTGACATATGCTATGTTGTTTCTTTCATATAAATTTTATGAAAAAATTTTTGATGAAATTTGACTTAAAATACAAATTATAATCATTTATTTTTTTCTTTTAGTTCTCTGAATTACTTAAAATTAATTCTAATCACTAAATTTTGACAAGCTGATGCCATTGTCTATCTGAATAATAATTATTTAAATTATACCATGTATTGTACAAGGTGTCTGAAAAATTACTGTGCAGTGAAAAAGGTTTAAATAAAGTTTTAATAAGTAAAGTTTGGCATACAATATTGCAGTTTCTCCTACAGCAAATTTCAGAAATGTCTTCCAAAGGCTCAAAATCCAAGAGAGAGAGGTCTGGAAATCTAGAGGGCCAGATTTTATGGAAGATTATGCAATCAGTAAATCTTTCTACTATTTGGTAACTGCACTATTAATAACCCCAGTATGACCACCTTTATGCTACAGTAAAAGTTTATTTCTTGATTGTAAGTGAGCAAGCAATCAATTATAGAGAAAGCAATGCTTTCTCTATAATTGATTGCTCAGAAGGTGTTAATTGCAGCTCAGAAGGTGTTACTAGCTATCACTGCTAAATGATGAAATAAGATAAGAGGTTACTTGGCAATGGATACATAAATATTTTTACAATATGCATCTTATAAGTCATGAGTTCTGTGGTATTTATATATATTTATGTATGTGATGTTAAAAACAGAAGTCCAGCACTTGCATTTGTTAAAATTTTTTGTTGTTGTTCTAAAATTGTTAGTATTCAAATCAAGTGATTCTAGATTAATTTAATTACATTAGCTTTCATTCAGTTTTGAATTATAAATTTCCTGAGGAAAAAGACTGAAAATGTTCAAGGGAAATTTTTACAGCACTGTAAAGATAGTCATACTGAGACAATAAGCAAATATCTTCAAAAACTGTCATCCAAAAACCAGAATGTGTGTGAGTGAGTGGTATCTTAAGGTGAAAATGTGATATATACAACTTGCAGGTCTCATATGCAATGCCATAACAAATTTCTTGCTGCACAGTAACTTTTCAGATATTATGTATTAAAATGACACATTTGTGCTTATGATTGACTTAAATTATAGCTTCAAAAATAGCATGTAAAAATAATTAATAATAATTAGTAGTTTGATTTGATTCAATTAATGTTTTCATGAATTTTTAAATATAGAAAGGATCTAAAAGTTAATCTGTATTAATCTCTGTTTACTATTAAACTCAAACATTACTAAAAGATATGAATTCTTTTTATTTTGAATACATACTATCATAATATTTAAATTACTTAAACATTTTTTCTAGGTCTTATTTGTTTCATGGAGGTAATCCTTGGATGAGTGATCCTAATGATCCAAATTTTGTAGCTGGTCGAAAAGCAATAAAGACAGGTATTTTTTTTAATATCTTGAAATTTCCATATTTTTTAAGTACTATTTAATATTTTATTAAGAAATAAATGATTGGACTTCGAAATCGCATTTGAGTTATAAATAAACACTTGGCTTTATTTCCATCATTTTAGTTGATATGTGACGACAGTACATTTCGGGCATAAGGCCCCTCATCAGTCAACTAAAAAATATATACAATTTTTTAAAAAGTTTACATAAAATATCTTACAAACATAATTAAAATATCGTATGTTTCTTACCATATTCAATTTTAATATATACAAGGTCTTAATTGGTGCACGCAACTTATTTTGGAATAAGTGAAGTAATTTCATTAAGGATTTGACAGTATCCAGGAGCTTTTGTATATTTGATAGTATCCAGGAGTTTTATACATAATCATATGCATATCACAAGATAGAAACAGACAATTTTTACACTATTCTTTTTTAACCTGCATAAAGAAATTTTTTTTTTATTAGCTAACATCAAAAATGCTATTAAATACCATAAGCACATTTTGGAATTAACTGATTTGATTTGCCATACATCGTTCTTCGAATTTGAAGGAAAAACATATCTGCAAGGACGGGGCATACCAATGGGTAGCCCAATGTCAGCTGTTCTTTGTGAGTTGGTGCTAAGAAAGCTAGAAAGTAATATCTTACCCTCTTTCCAGAATGATATAATAATATATGCAAGGTATGTAGATGATATCTTCATTTTGTGGAAAAATAATAGAAATACACACTGTTTTATAAGCTTAATCAACAGTAACCCTTATGGTCTAACATTAGAACTAGACCAGGAGAGTAAAAATAGTGTTAATTTCTTAGATTTAACAATTACATGCAAAGAGGGTGAGATCAAAACGAATATTTACCGTAAGCCAGTTTATCAACCAATCATCATACCTAAGAATTCCTCAGTTCCAGAACCTATCAAAATGGCAGCATTTCGATCATGGATTACAAGGGCTTACACACATTGTACCAGCATATATGACACTTATAAAGAATTGGAGTATATACGGAGCATAGCTGAGCAACAGGGATGTGGAAGAAAGGCAATCGATGCACTGATAACAAGGATGCAAAAACGGAACCGGCAACAAAGAGCAACTGAACTAAGGGAAAGAATTGTAATTAATTACCATCCGTCTCTAAATAAAATTATTAAGAAAGTTGCCAGAGATAGGAATGTAAAAATAATTTATAGACGTAATCCTACAGTGTATAAGCTTCTAAGAAATGATAAGAAAAGATTTGAACGTAATAGCATGACAGGAGTGTACTCGATACCTATGAAGGACCATAGATTTAACTCCAACTTAGTATATATAGGAGCAACTATGTGGAACCTGAAGAAAAGGATTGATGAGCACAAATACTCAGTAAATCGCAGCCTTGATAGCACGGTCCTTGCAGCGTTTGCAAAACAACAAGGAATTGAAGTATACTGAGATCAGGCCGCAATTATTAAACCTACAAGATCAATACAAGCGGTGAAACACCTGGAAAAAGTTGAAATACACAAAGCACATACGACCACAGTGCATCAACTACAGAGATGCTGAAAGTTTATCAACAGCTTGGAAGTCCTTTTATGATAGCATAGATTAACTATTGCAACCGCATAGGCGGCGTTATTATTTATTTTTATAATATTAATTGATATATAATGTTGCTATTTTTAATTATTTAGGTTTAATCTATACATTTTATAAGTACGCGCATGTGCTTTAGCATTAATTTGTAAATAAGCGACGTGAAATTTTTTGTATTTTTTCGAATACTTTGTTCGTTGTATAGTTCGAATTTTGGACTGATGATGATCGATTAAAACGATCGAAAACGTTTTTCAACGCATTAAAAGGGTGCTGGAATAGAGAAAGGTGTTTGTTTATTTTTATTTTTTTTTACATATTGCCAGTTTATTAATGATGATTAATATACTAGAACAGCATTTTTCAAACTTTTTGCTCAAGTGACCCAATATATTTGTTTGTAATGGTTCTGTGACCCAAATGTTTATAATATAAAATTTTTAAAACACCTGGTAAACTGGAGTCACTGTACATCAAGCATGTCAAATTTTTTGTGGGCTGCATGCAGTTCACAAAAAATATTTTTGTGACCAGTCAATATAATGGTATGTAAGTAACACTTTAATAAAAATTTCATAACTTAATTTTTACAATATCCTGTTATACATAATTATTAATAATGAACTACATTGTTTGCCAATGACTTATTACTATAATCATGTTGCATCCATTTCCCTTACGTGCCTTATGTGCAGGTGCACCATTTCTTCCTGCTGATACTAGCAGTGAATATTGTAGTAGCCAATTATATACCTACTATCACATGCCAGTGCCACTTCAGTAGTCTTGTACTGACTTGTTTGTTGTGCATAACAGGAAATATTTTGCTTTCAGAGAACAAGAAAAATAGGTTTATTTACATTATGCTTATTAATTTATGCAGTTATTCAGGGTCTGATAAGTTAATTATCAAGAAAAAAACATTAATTTTTATTAAAATGTTCTATTATTTTATGTTAACAATTACTCATTTATTTCAGCCCTTTGTACTCAGAATGTCTCTATCAAAAGGCAAGTGGTAGTAAAAATAAACAAAAAATTGCTGACAAACATCAAGATTTCCAAGAAAAGTGGGAATTGGAGTAATTTTGTTGTGAAGTAAAAAATAAAATAATTTGTTTAATATGTAATAATGCTATTAGTGTACCAAAGTTATACAACATTGTCACTATGAACAACATAATTCATGCTTGTGACACTGATTTCAATATTTTTGAGGAAGTAATGGAATTGTTATCAATGCATAACACTAGTAGAGGCCAAGATGTACTTGTGTATTTTTGCAGAAGTTCAAGAACATTCTATCTCTGTCAAAATAATTTCTGTAGCTGTAGATGGAGCTTCTTCAATGACTGTAAAAACAATGATTTTGGACATTACTGCAAAAAATAAAATAAAATAAAATAAATGACATCCAAGATTCATCATACACATTGCATCATACAAGACATATTATGCACAAAGGTGATAAACATGGAAAATGTGTTGACACCTATCAAAAAAATCATCAATTTCATAAGATCTCAAAGCTTAAATCAGTGACAGTTCTCTGTTTTCTTAAATGAATTAGACAGCAAATATTCTGGTTTGTCCTACTATACCAAGGTATGTTGGCTATCCTGCTCCAAGGTTCTTAAACAGTTCTGAGACTTGAATGAAGAAATGTGTCAGTTATTAATAACTAAAAATCAAGACACAGGCCTGTTTTTTGATATAGTATGGTTGCAAGATTTATCTTTCATGGTTGATATAACAAAATATGAGGGGTATTTTTTAAATAAGGTCTGTTTTTTAATAAATAAATAAAAACCAAAGTGTTTTCTTCAATTTGTTTTCTTGATGTAAGTTTTTGAAAGTAAACTTGTCTTCCAAAAATTTAATTTGCAAACCATGTTTCAAATTCAGTTCTAATGCTTAAAATTTTTTCTGTGTATTTTTGATGCTATGCAGTTTTATCTAAACTTGATTTGTTCATGTTGCATGTCAGAAAGTGTGTTAAATCTTCATTTTTCAACTGTTTTTCCCCAAAGAACTAACTTACATTTGAATACTTTAACTTGTCATACATATTCATAATGATCTAATCTTTTGGTTGCAATTTTGAATTTAAATCATATAAGTATGAGGACTATTTTTAAAATAAGGTCCATTTGTGAATGAGAGTGAGAATGATGCACGATCACAGCAGTGCGCATGTGCATCTGCTCTCAGCATGCTTTGTGCGTGTTTAGACACCATTTGCAGCTGTATCGTCTGTCTCCTGCCGACTGTGAGATACGATCTGTTATTCAATTTCAACGTGAAAGATCATGGCAACTGTCTTTTGGGACAGAAAAGTGATTTTGTTAGTGGATTTTATGCCAAGAGGCACAACAATCAATTCTGATGTGTATTGTTGTGACCTTGAGAAAGCTGGTGTGCCATACAAAACAAGCGGCAAGGTCTACTGTGTGTGATGATGATCCATGACAATGCAAGGCCACATGTTTCTGCACAAACACAAGGTCTAATCAGTTCAATTATTATGCCTTTGTGTGTCCTATAACTTAATTTAATACAGTCGATTCCCATATAAGACGGTAGATACGTTCCGTTCTTTATGAATCAATTTTGTAGGAATCTCAGCCTGAAATGTGTGAAGTTTACAGACTATGGCTGTTTGAAAGGTTTTCTTCCATAAAATTAATAGATTCTAGACTAATCCGACTCAACATTTTCAAAATACGTATAATTTTTTGGGAATAATCCATATAAACTATGCTATAAACAAAAAATTGTAGGATTACTTACCGAGTGTGCACTGTTCGACAATGCCATTGCTTAAGCTTGTTTTCGTCGTGGAGATTGTCATTGAATGGTGCTCGCATGCTTCCTGATAAATTATTTTTTTTGCAAAAAATTTGCTGAGTTTTGGAGATATCATTAATATAAATATAATTTTTATGGCCGTTAAATAATAAATGGTTTTTAGTAGGTCTACTGCTCATTTAAACTCAACAGTTTGTACAATATCTGCTATTGGTCTAGATTCGACCAATCCTGTCACGACACAAGTTGGTGATGACATTTTACCAAATTATATAAGTTTTTTTTTAGCCTGTTTGTACAAATACTGTCGCAATTTTTTTGCCGTCATATAGGAATCCAAACTATATGAACCCATGTTATATGGGGGGGCGACTGTATTACAATTTTTTTTATAAACTTAATGAATCCTTTTTTAAAATGTACTTTTCAGACTGTAAGATAGATGATTTTGTCATTTTGTATATACACATAAAAAAAATTATTTATTGATTTGTGCCAAAATTCATCCATTATTTATTTTTTTATAATTTATTGTTATGTATGGCAATAAACCTAAAAGTTTGAATAATCAAAGAAATATTTTTGAAACCATTGAACTTAATTGGCTTTATTACTATGACCTTACATAAAATATCTATTTTGTATATCTCTTTTCAAAATAGAAAAGCAAAATCAATTTCATATACATACACATAATAAGATTATAGAATGTTATAATCTTAAAATTTATTACTAAATGACAATAATTATAAGAAAGTTGTTAAAACTTTTCAGTACTTGGCAGGTGCATCTACAGGTATACCTTGCCTTACGTCAGTAATTGGTTCTAGCAGAACGACTTAAGTCGAAAAACGACGTAAGTCGAATTTACTTGTCTCCGAATCTACTTGCCACTAGGCTAAACCATAACTTACCAATTCCCGTTCTGTATTTTATTTATTAATGCATTTTTAATAATATATGGTTAATAAGGATCTATTTTAAGCTTACAAACAAATAAATTTTAGTTTTTAATATAGTACAGAAAAAAAGTAATTTAAATTTACGAATGCATGTACTGTAAATACAGTATATACTTCTAAATGTATATATTATAATATGATTTTATGTGCTTTAAACATTTTTCTAGTGATATTACGACTTCAATATTTGTGGCGGACAGACGTAAAGTCGAATAAAATGACTTAAACTTGATTTTTATTTTTCCATATATTTTTTTGACAAACGACATATAATCGGGAACGACGTAAGTCGAGGTATACCTGTATTATTATTAGTTCTTAGAGAATATTTCAGTAATATTATGATTATTTCTATGGAAGGTGGTATCATTTCATGACCCATTAAAATTTTAATGTGATTCATAATTTGAGAAATGCTGCACTAGTTCTTTATTTTGAATATCATTATTTAAATTCTTATTAAATTTTTTAGTTTTCGGGGTGGATCCAGATTTAACTAGAGAAGGAGGAAGTATTCCTGTAACATTGACTCTACAGGAGGCAACTGGAAAGAATGTGATGCTATTACCTGTTGGAGCATGTGATGATAGTCCTCATTCTCAAAATGAGAAACTTGACATTTATAATTATGTTATGGGGGTGAGAATTAATTTAATTGAAAATTAAATATTTGAAATAATAATGTTTTTATTTAAATGCATGTTTTTTATTTTCAGACAAAAGTAATGGCTAGTTATCTTAGTGAAATTGCAAAAGTTTAAGCTTTCATGTTACAAATAAATATGTTGTTTCTTACAAATGAATAAATTATAAGTGAAAATTTTATAAGTAAACTGAATTTGTTGGACAAAATAAAGGTTTAAAATTTTCTATTTATAAACTTGAAAGTTTTTAATTGAAAATATGGTATATAAGACTAAAATTTATGTATTTTAGTATTTTTGTAGAAAAACCACTCATTAGAATTCTTTCAAATTTGTTATTTTTATACATGGGCTTTCAAATGAATACTATCATTTTAAATTACAGTAATTATGTTATTATCTGAAAAGTATGTGACATACACTAGTTAACAGTGTGTGTCAGTTTCATCTCTCATCTGCATTCAAACATCTTGTTGTCTACTACCTCTAGGAAGTAATGTAAAATAAAATGATGACACTGCAGTATAGAGGACATCTTGTGTTTTATGAAGGCAAAAATCTATCCTAGAAAGTCTAAAAGGCAGATTACTCATCATTGTACAATATGATTAATCTGCAGGAACCATAGAATTTGTGGTTGCTGTGGAAGGAGTGACAACATATATGCTATAGCAAGTGTAGAATGAATTTGTGTATTGGTTGGATGTGTGCCATGTGACATGAAGTGCATACATTGAGAAATTAATGGGCAAATGTGAAACTTGGACAGTTTTCCAATGTTTTAATATACATTATGATGATCTCAGATAATGATTAACATAATTACAATAATTTAAAATGGTAGAATTATTTTTGGAAATAATTTATGGAAATAAAATAAAATTGTTTATAAATAATGCATTACATCATTCTTCAAATATCAATACACTTTCACAGCTGGATGGCTGATCGGTCAAGGTGGCAGCCTACTGCTCTGGGGGATTCGGGATCTAATCTGATAGGTCAAAAAAATACCTAGGAATTTTTCGTGGGTGGTCTGGATATGTTGGGTCCTATCTGTCACCACCCGGCCTCACCATTGTAGGCCTGGCCAAATTCATAATGAGCTTGTTGAAAGAGGCCCTCTTAGTGCTCATAAGGCAGAAAGAGTTTTAAAAAATATATATATATATCAATATGCTTTTGTTTTTTTAAGTCTGTCCTGTGGTCACTAAGGATCTTTTTTCCAAACTCACCATGGGTTCAGCCATACCCATAATAGAGTGGCAGGGTGAGGGACAGGGCCCAACATATTTGGGACTGACTACCCACAAAAAATTTCTGGTGAGTTTTCAGATACTTCTATGAGGAACTTGAGATTGTAAGATAACATCTTAACTGTCTCAGCCATCAACATTCAACACACAACTCTCAACATGATATTGCTCTTTGAGTCCTGTCTACTATTAAAAGATACTGTATTTTGAGATGTTAAATTAGGTAGAAATCACAAGATTTATACTGTATATGCAACAAGCAGAATCACATCTTTTGGTAAACAGGAAACTTCAATCTTTTTCATTTTGTTTTTTTTTGAACTTCACCCATTGGGTGCTAAGAGGGATTTTTATTCATACCCATTATGAGTTTGGTCAGGTCAGTCTGGCAATGGATATGACCTGACGATGTACTAGATCCAACATGCCTAGAACATTAAAACGAATAGCTTAACAACATGGCTAAATGAGAAGGGTTTAAATCATCAGGACAAGATGAAAAAAGAGACACAAAACAATCAGATATAAATTTTATTGATATGGGAATGCATTTCGGGTGCTAAGACTCCTCATCAGCCCATTTAAAGAGTAGTACACTGCATTTAACATTATGAATATTTAAAATATTTTATTAGGACAAAGATTACAGTTTAGTATCAAATAACTCAGTGCACCAAGTATACAAAATATTAGATACTTTTGTGGCTTAATTTTAACAATAACAGATAATACTAACTTAAAATTAAATTTGTATAATACATTAATAAACATAATTGATGGTTGTAATCAGTCTTTTACAGTTACATAGGAATGTTGTCTTCATAAACATAAAATTGGTTCTATTAAAAATAAGTTATTAGTTACTTTTGTGACAATTTTAATCAATTAAAAGTAAAAAATTTTGAGGTAACTTACTTTACTGAATTTAATTTTTCTATTAGTAGACTTTGTTGAAATAGGTATCCATAAATTTATGGATACCTATTTCAACAAAGTCGTATTGGCGTATTATATTAACATCATTAATACAAACATGTACAAACAATTAATTACTTGCACTGCTGACTATTCTTATGGGTGGAGAGTACAAATAATGGTGACCAGAAGAATGAGAGTGGTAGGGGGTAGTACAGTTTATCCATGAATTTCTTGGCTTGAACTTAGCTTGCCATTCTGGAAGATTCGGATCCAACATCTTTAACAGACATCTAGCTGTCATCAATATTCTACTTGTGAAAAACAAGCTAAAAATCTATCATTACATTTTAAAACAATCATTCTTTTACAAAGTTTAATACAATTTACAGAGTTTAATTGACATCGTAACAGGATACAACTTTTCAATAAATTTCCTACATGAAATGGAGTCAAATTTGGAAGAATAATTTAAATGGTATGGAATGTTTAAATTCAATAATTATTATAATTTTCCGAGTGAAGTTAATCCATTATGCATGAAATAATTTTTTTAATAATATAATACTGATTAATTTTAATATAAATTTCATGTTTTTTTCATTCTAAATGAAACAGAATAAAAAATAAGCTAGTCTATAACAATTGCATTTCTCACTTTTATAAATTAGAACTGTATATGATTCTGTACACGTAACAGATAAATATTTGTTAGAAAATAATAGATTAAAGAAATTTAAAGATAGACACAAGCAAAAAATCACCTTCCTCCTTTACTCCAGCAACGTTTGTTTTAAATTACAAACGTTTTCTGCCGCATTTAGAGGCCTTCCATGTAAGAATTTGGTTTGAAAATTTATATTCTAAAATTAACCGACATGGATTAATTCAAAATGTAAAATAAATTAGAAATTAAGATTAAAATAAAAATAAATCTTAAAAATACGATAAACTATGATGCGCTTTCAAGCACTTCGAAAATTACTTAACATAGACGTTATAAACATTCCTAATTTTATAGATTACAAATACAGTAAAACTTCTCTGTCTGTAACTCGAATGAAACGAAGCATGCGGTAGGTGTCAACTTAAATTTCCTAACTCAAATTTTCTCCGAGTCGAAGTTTTTCATGGTCCCCAGACACCGATTTGTTACTTTCGACTTCCCCGACTGGAATTTTAATATTTATTCTATCCGTTGTTATCCTAATTATCGAATTTCCATGAAATTTTCAGACAGTTGTATCTACTCTCCAACACCAATTTTCAGACAACGTTCCAGTCCAAAGCGAGAGGTCCTCGCTTTATCTCAACAAAATATACAGTACCTACTAAACAGTTCGATTCAATTAGTTACATTGAACATTTTACTCTAAAGCGTTAGCCTACATGGGTTGTTTAAAACAAGAAAAAAAATCTGAAAGAATCTTCCCATGATGCAAATGCATTATGCATTTTATTCAGAAGTGGCAAATGAATCGTCTAACTCTGTTTCTAACCCTTGAAGCTTCGAGTTAGATAAGTTTTACTATAAAATAAAGCGCGAAATATAACTTGAAAAGTAAAAACAAAAGTATTGAAAATATTGAAAGAGGTGAATGAGCTTATGAATTACGAATATGTAGCCAGTATTGCTAAGCCTGGACAAAGGAGATGTATATATTTGATGATGTAATTTAAAGGGAAATTACATCACCTTTTAGTTTAGCTTTACGAATAATCGAAGCCATAGAAATATATAATTTTTTTCTGTCAAAAACTAATCTTGTGATGTTAGCCGATTGGGGTGAGGAGATTTCGACAGCCGAGCGGTCAATACTGTGGTGTGGGCGCAGAATGACTCACCGAGACAGGTTTACCATATAAAACCGTTTAATAACATTAACATTTCTTACAATATTTTCTTGACTGACGGATTATCACACCACGAAGCGCGAGGATAAAGTTCAAGTAGAGTTCGAAAAGTTCGTGTTTCCGTTTCCTACGTTTCTGCGAAGACGGTGAAATAATCGTCGGTCGCGGGGCGAATGGCACTACTTCAGGTGGTTTTTCTCGGACGAACCGACGAGCCTGGAGGTCGTCCGGTGACGCTACAGATGAGGTTGCTTCCACTAAATCCGAAACGTTCTTTCCAAGATTCGGCGGGGACACACACGTCCAGGAGGATAAGGCTACGAATCAAGAACCTTTAAACCCTTAAATCGCACGGTTTTATAGATTTCTTAACCTCAGTCGCCTCTCCATTGGTCTCTCCTTGTCACCTGGTGACAATTCGAAACCCGATGGAGGGCGCGGGAGAGGTCAGCGTCGCAATTGAATATGATTCCTCTTTCGCCGCTTTTTCTCGACTTTATCCATTTCCATTGTTTAACTAATTTACATAAAAATTTCCATTGTTCGATTGAGACATCAAATCCTTTCCATTGGCGTCTGAAAAGGAACACTTTAAATTTCCGATCGATGCCCGTCATTCGGACTCCACCGTCGACCCTCGTTCGGGTCCTCACAATCTCACTAGCTTAGCTTCATTCCAACTTAACGCGCGACGTGGAATATAGCGCTCGTCTGACTATAGACTTCACGCTTCCGTTTTGACACTCGTCTGACATTAACCTAAAAGCTTTATAGCTTAAAAATTAATAATAATAACAAATGAAGGCATTGGTCACGATAACTGAATGATACTGCTATGTAATAAACAAAAATTTTACAATTTGCACGGCTTGTGTTATCAAAATTTAAATTTCATTTTTATAGTTTTTGTCGCTATGCATTACGAATTACAACGCGATGAGTGACAAAATCGCCATCTCAATCAAACGTGGCGATTTCAATCGGAATTGGAATTGGGCTCATACTGTCGTTTTGGGTTTTTGTTGTGCAGTGATGGAAAAACAGAGAATAAATACAGAATATAAGAAATGCTATTTTCGTCAGAGCAATGTTAAGATTATTAGACCTAATATTGTTGCTACTGGGGACAATAATAATCTAAAATATTAATAAATACTGTAATACATATTTTTTCCTTGAAACAAAAGAAACCGCAGCTTTCTAAACGCAAGTGGAGTGATTCCACACTATACAATATTTATCTATATATTATCTGTAATGACATAGCCACAGGGGTTGACTACCGCAGGAGATTGGTTGACTGACGCTTCCGAAAAGGCTCATTAGTTTAGAGTGAATCAACATAGAAATTGGCTGATCAAAGCTTAAAACACTAAAACAAGCAATGAGGTAGAGGCGAGGGATGGTGACTTTTTCTTTCTTTCTTTCTTTATGGTTCATATGAAGACTACAGGACATAGGCTCTTTTTCTCCGAGGGACATTGACTTTCTGCATTAGATTTACCACAAGACACTTTTGAGAAGACTGTTACTAGTTTAAATAGTGTCAACATGAAAATAAGTCAACCAGTGAGGCCGTTTCTAAACTCAACCCCGTTGGGTAGCGAAGAGCAAAACAATGACGTCAT